TTTTTATTTTTTTATTTTTTATTTTTTTAAATATAAAAGTATTGGTTTTAAATTATATTACATTATTTTGATTTACAAATTACAGAAAGTATTTGGACATGTTTTCTAGTTGTCGAACATTATTGGATCCTGTCCATAGTTAACAGACCTGTGAGCTGTGTGAACCTAAGTGAAACTGGCTTTATAAAAATCACCTTAACACTTAAATACATGCAAAAGTGAGTTTTAAACAATAAATCTATTATGATCTGTTTGCTATATTTTATTTATATTGCAATGGAATTCATGCATTTATAAGTGTACCTGAAGTTTTTAAATAGTTTTGGGGGCCACTGTATGCTGTTCCTTTTCGTTATAGCACCACACATTTTTACTGCATTTTTTTACAGATTTTTTTTTTTTGCTTGGTGAATTGAAGTCATGATTATTATGCATATTTTATGAGCAAATCAGATTTTATTCAAGGCTTCCACGGGATGACATGTTGTATTCTTGATGTTTTAATGAAAATGTCGTCATATTGTCAAATATAATTTTCATTATGACAGAGTCAGCATGACAGTTTTTCTATTTACAGTTCATTATGTACATAATGTGATTGACATACACAAGTCATTAATAGGCCTATTTTTCCAAAATCATACAAAGCCTTCATGATAATGCTTCAGTACAGTCTATTTCAATACAAGATCTGCTGCGGTTTATTTATTTGAAGTAATACACGGTTGGTGGAATTATTTACTCTGAATAATGTTAATGAAAATGACACTGATAATAATGATAAATATTTAAAGTACTTGCTCGAATATTTCTAAACTTCTAGAATGTCAGTACATTGAGACATGTGTAATCGATCTGTCTTTCTCAGCTGTCAGGACAGCGATGACACTGTTGATCTCTGTGAGGAGATGCTGCAGATCTCCATGTTAGTGAAGGAGCTCCCGGCCTCACTGCCGCATTCTGGATATGAAGCGCTGGAGGATATGATGTTCTTCAGCCTGTGGAGAGCAATGATCAGCAGGGTAAGCAGGAAGAGCAGCAAGCTGAGGAAGATGGAGACGTAGACGTAAACATTGGCAGTCCGTCCGTATGAGGCAGCGGCCGCCCCGGTAGAAACAGATGTAGGGCTGAACCTCAGGAAACTCTCGCTGTCCACTTCCGTACCATTCATCTCCTCCACAGTCCCATCCATCCCAGACATATCTGCTGGATTTGGGAATCTGATGGGAAGATAGGATAGATAAATTATTATCTACAGGCACATTTGTTTCAATTAGTTTGCTGTTTTGTAAATTAAAGTATTATTACTATTTACTTAAACCTCTGGGATTAAGTTCATGTAAACATATGATTGGGATCATGCAGAACATATTTTATATTATTTTTATTTAATATTAATATTTTTTATATTATTGGATACAATAATGACGTTACATTGATCCCACTAATGGTGTACTGTAGTATCCATAATATGTTTCATTTATGAAGTATTGATTAATACTAGTATTTAGCATTTAATAATACTAATAATTAATATTTTATTCTATTCTATTACAATGATATATTATATTAAAATATAAACACATTTATATTATATTACAATATATTATAATTAAACAATATATTATGATATATATTATTTTAATAGATTAGAAGCATATTCATCTAACAGGCCAGTCATATTTTATGTCAAGCCCCCAGAGTTCACTGACACACAGCTGACTATTCCCTTAACTGACCTCTGTCTTTGATGAATGTTGGATTTGTATGGTTCAGAAAAACACAACAACAACAACCAGAACACTTACATACTTCAGATTGAATGTGAAGAGGATGATAATCACATTTAATTATGCTTTTTGTATCCAGGCAACCTGCATATCAGTGGGCTTGTAAGCTGGTGCGGGTTGTTGATAGGCCACCGCCGGTCCATTAGGACTTTGGGGTGGTCACATCGGCTCAGTGGTGCACACAGAAGGTCAGTCTGTTGTTTACACAGCATGCATACTCGCACCTCATGAATAATAGATCGAGAGGTACCCGAGCAGGACAATGTCACAGAGTTTCCCAATTTAAAGAGAACAACATGCCAAATCATTTGTTTGACAGGCTGTCGGTGTCAAAAATGCTGTCTTTGTTTGGGGCCATTCAAAAGCTGAGCTTATACAAGACCAACATGCGTGCAGCTTTGAACAGAAAAGTTTTTCATATTTACAAGCAGTGGCACATGATTCACATTCAGCTCCCCTGAGACGAGAACAATTTAGCGGAGGTCACCTCAGCTGTGTGAGAATCAATGCATAAGAGCATGTGTGCTTGTTCTGTAGATGCATTAGTGTGGAAATGAGCTGCATCTTCACCATCTGGTTACAGGTCAATATGTGGCTTTTTATTATGTGTTCTTTCACATTGCTCTTTATCATTAAATGGCGATCAAAAATGTAGTTTAAATTTGAATGATTAAAAATAATGGTAACACTTTACAGTATAAGGTCTCCTTTGTTGACATAATTAACAGTAGATAATGCGATGAATGCAATGTATTTTCTTTATTAATCTATGTTAATGTTAGTTAATAAAAACTGGGAAGGTTACTTTAGAAATGTAACAGGTTACATATTACAAGTTACCCTATTTAAAATAAGTAAGTGTAACCATTTCAATCACTTTATCAAAGTAATGTAACTGATTACATTTTGATTACTTTTCTAAATTTCTGACAAATATTTTCAACTGTTAATCACTTTCAGGGTTAACCTTACAGTAGTACTCAACACTGATTACAGTCAGACTTTCAAAATCCTTCATTTCTTGAATTAAAAAGCACAGCCAACACAAAAATCAGACTTTAGCACCTCTTTTTACTTTGAGATCGTTTTGAGGTTAAACACATAACAAGAAATAGCAAATATTAATACAAGAAGTATTCAGATGCAAACCCCTTTGTAATCGTTAATATTTTCATAAGTAACTGTCATTTAATTACATATTAATTACACATTTTTACAGTTACTTTTATTTTGTAATTAAATTACGTAACGCTGTTATATGTAACTCCCAACACTCAATAAAAATGAATTGTTCATTGTTTGTTCACAACAGATACAATTTTTTTTATTTAAAAAATGCATTAGTAAATTTTGAAATTTACATGAACTATTTACGTTGAAAAATGCAAAAAGTGTTTGCTCAAGTTAACTAATGCAGTTAAAGGGATAGTTCACCCAAAAATAAAAATTCTGTCATCATTCACTCACGCTCAAGTTGTTCCAAACCGGCATGGATTTCTTTCCTCTGTTGACCACAAAAGAAGATGTTTTGAAGAATGTGAGTAGCCAAACACTTTCTGGTTCCCACTGATTTCATAGTATTTTTTCCATTACTATAGAAGGCAATGGGGACCAACAACTGTTTAGTTACCCATATTCTTCAAAATGTCTTCTTTTATATTCAACAGAACAAAGAAACTCATACAAGTTTGGAAATACTTGAGGGTGAGTAAATGGCAGAATTTGCATTTTTGGGTGAACTTTCCCTCTAACTAAATTTTAACAAATGAGACCCTGCAATATTGCAGATTCTTGCGATGTTCAGAATTTGTTTTCGAGAACCCTGAAAATTGTCCACAGATGTGCGGACAAAACAAGTGAAGTATTTTTAGTCTGCGGTTCACCTCACAACACAAAACGTGCTATTTGTTTGTTCGCCGGCATATTTCACTTCCCTAAGATTCATTGTGTGTGACTACAGTCGTCTGAGCCACAGCGGGCCCTGAGAGCCTGTGGTTAGAGTCTCATAAAGGGTCATGATTTATGACCACTTCCTTTTTTTCTGAGATGCGTTCGTCTGCAGAGACACGCTAGGAGACAGCAACAAACGGGAAATCACACTTATTTTCCTGGACGGTTCCTCAGTCAACTTTAACGTTCCCCCCACCAGCTTTTCAATTTATGAGTGAGATGAGAATCCCTGCGGCAATATAAATCATTCGATCCCTCTTGTGGTTTGCCTGCAATTCCAGGAGAAGTTCAGCGGGTCATTACGGTGTGCGGCTCTAATCTGTGTTTATGGATTTCGTTTAGGGAAGCTAGTGGAAGGAGAATGTGGCTATTAAGAAAATGACTCAAACATAAAGCTCCACAGAGGATTTCAGTGAACGAGGGGAGCGGGGGATGGCGAAATACAGAGGGATGGAGAAGAAGAGATTTGAGACTGACTGGAATACCTGATGACTGTCAAAGCAAATACATCTTTTTTATCACTTACCATGTGATAATTTCAATTATGTACATTAAATGACACATTTAAGCCAGTTTGAAAATTTAAGAACAGTTTAGTTTTAACATTCAAATTGAAAACATCAACTAAGTAAATTCAGATAAATACAGTAGAAATACTGACCTTTTTGATGCAAAAAAAGAATAGTCGGCACTA